TTTGTACTTTGTAAAAAGAAAACAACTTCATTTAACTAAAATTAATATTAATGCATAATACAGTACTTTTAATTGTGATTGTTAGTTAATTATTGATTGCTTTAATAAACGTACAGTGTCTCACTTAGTAACAAAAAAGAATGATAAACTTTTGGTAACTTTGGAACGTAATCCAATGTTTTGCATTAGTTCTTTGTTTCATATAGCACAGATTGACATAACACAGTACTTTTTCAGAATGTAACCACTGTGTTATACAAGGGATACCTGTAGATATTTTGTAAACTTTCTTAAAATATCATTTCCAATATGTCAAAATGTTTTTTTTAACTCAAATGCATATAGTTCAAAGCAGATGCTTCCCATTCCTTTAGCATCCTATCCTTTTCTCTCATATTAATGAGTGTTTACTCTACAATGAATGATTTAATGGTTAAATGTTTTTACATGAAGCATTTAGCCATTAGAATGAATAGTAATATAATAAATATATTTGTTTTTTGTTTTTTTAAGTACTTTTTCATTATTTATTCTTCTAAAGAAGATAGAACCAGTGTATGATCTAATGTAACAATTTTATTTAATTTTTCAAATGATAATATGCATTTTATCAATGCAAAAATTAACTAAAGTTGTTGCTTCAGGTTATGCAGTCATTCTGTTTTCTTTAGAACAATAAATAAAGATTACTAATAGCAAAGTTCTCTAAATTAAAAATTTACTTTTTCATTCGTGTATAGTATCCACAAATGAAAAAGTACTTAAATACATAATTTTTTAAAATTAGAAAACATTTTATTAACTATAAATGTTATGGCTTACATAAATGAAATAACTATAAGTAGGCTTCCATACATATTCAGGATATTGTCCGGGATTGCTGACTGTTTGGAATTTCAGCAGTCACTATGTATCATAATTGTATGCACACAAACAGAATAGCAAGATTGGATGAAATGCAGATATTTAAATTGCATTTCATTCAATGAGTTGTAGCTTTAGAGCTAATATTACTGACTTACTAGAGAAAATATGACCAAAGATATGTTTTGCAAAGTTTAGCATTTATAAATATGGTTGACAACCAGAGTATATTATACACATTCTTACTTTGTAGTGATGATTTAAACATTGGACTACTTTTTCATGTAAATTCACTATTTTTGAGCATATTTTTTTCAAATTTTCTTTAAAAATAACAGCTCTGGTCATATGTCAACTGATAAGTCAGTGTTGTAAACAGGAATGTATTTTCTTGTTTTTTTTTAATGCATGCATACATTTATGAATAGCATTCCATTTCTATAAGAATATAAAACACACAAAGAGTTTATATGTTTAAGTAATAAACTGTATAAAAGAATACGAACTAGATATTAATTATTAAAGTTTGGATTACTTTTATTCTATTATTGCCTTTAACTTTACACTATTTCATTGTGAAATTTTTTAATTTCATAATAAAATAGCACAAAGTTAAGAATTCATGTCCTATTATGTATAATAAATTATAATTTAAAAACTTTTTTAAATAAATATAATACAACTTCAAACCTATAATAAGTCCAGCAGAACAGTGTATACTGTTTTGCTGAATTCATTATAGGTTTGAAGGTGTATTTATGGTCATTTTTTTGGAAGATTTAATATTGGAATTTTTTTAATCAATAACAGTCAAAGCTGGAACTTCCACAGCATATAAAGACACTAAACACACCTTAAACACTTTTCCAGCAGTTAAATTTAATTAAAACAAATGTTTTTGGCCTGATTGATAAACCTTCCTCAGGGTTTTTTAAGTAGAAATTCTATTTCTTGAGTAAAATATTCTTTAATGTAATTTATATTTTTTAAATTTTAATGGATTTTTTGATTATCTAATATAGAACAAATGTTATATTGGATAATCAAAAAACCCGCTATGATTTAAAAAATGTAATTTATCAAAGAATACTTTATACCAAAAATAGAATCTCCACTTAAAAAACCTGAGGAAGGCTTATCAACTAGGCCAAAAACATTTTCCAGCAATTAAATTTAATTGAAATAAAGTGTTTAAGATGTTGTTTAGTGTCTTTAACTTTTTAATATGTAAGTGCAGATTTATTAACCAGTTACTCCATCTAGAGTTGACCATACACCTTGGTTTGTTTGTAACAGTCCCAGATTTTTCCTATTTTTAACCCTTAAAAATAGAATAAAATTTTAAATAAACCATTTTGATATGTGCTTCTTGTCCTTAGTTATTTTTATATTATGCCTTAGTCTGCTGATGAGAGGCTTTGGCCTGAAATGCTAAAATGTAGTGGCATACAAGATTGTGTTACATTAAAGGTGTTTTAATTTGAAATTTTGTGATTCTATTCCCTCGTTATAGTAATTCCTAGTTTACAAGAAAGCCTAGTTTACAAAGTGGACAAAGGCATAGTATTTAAATAAACCATTCCATAGATCTAATGCAACATAACCAAATAAGTCAATAGATTATTTTTTAAAATTATTTATATAAGTTTAGCCATTTTAGATTCATTTTTTGCTTACTCTTAAAAACTGTATCCCAGTTTTGGTGATAAACAACATCAAGTTAGAAAGAAATTGTTTATCATTAATAAACCTAAATTGAAATTATATTATAATGATTAATCACATGGGAAGTGTAGAAAATAATAATTAATACCTCGTACTAATAAAATAAATTAATGGTGCAAAAACAAGTCAAATATTAAAATTATTCACTTAGAGACAAGGACGACGACTTTTATCATAGAGTTTATTTTTTAATAATTTTTAGATAGTAATGACATCAAAAATGTGGTTGAGATATAATATTTGATCATAGCTAATATGTCACACCATTAAACTCTACAGCCATTTTCTAACCAAGACTATCAAATTAATGAATTTGATAGTCTTGGTTAGAAAGTGGTTAGAACTTAATGGTGTGATGTATTAGTCGTATAGAACATTATAACCTGCTTTTATAACTAAATTGATTTCTGGAAGACTTGGTAGGCAAGCAGCCAGAAATATACTTTTGAACTACATATCATATCAAGATATTCAACCACAAAAGAAAATGACATTTCATACAGCATAAAATTTATACAGTTGTAAACTAAGATTCTACATAATTCCACTTTACAAACAATTGTATTAAATGTTCTGTAATATTGTAAGCAGATTGCATTAGATAATTTTAGCCATTTTTCCTGCATTTATCTTACATCAATATCAGCTTTGCATTTGCATTCTCTTGTTTATGCACCCAATACTTGTGGTTCTATAGGATATTAATATATAAATCACATTTTAATCTTTTATTGATGCACTGTGCAAAATTATTCAAGACTCCAATAATTTGTTGTAATGTGTTTGTAAGAAATTCACATTTTATTTATGTTTATTAACTTAAAACATATTTTAGCATATGAAAATTAAGAGCCACTCTTGCATTGTGTTATAAGCAAGCATGGCTCAAGTTCACATTGTAACAGATTTGCATTATAATGAAGTTGAGCTGTAACAGGTACAGTGTATGCATATATAGAGGGTGTCCATAAAGTCCATGTGCAATTTAAAAAATTTATAACTTTATTAGTATTTGTGATAGAAAGAATCTATAAAAAGTATTAGAAAGCTTTAATGTACCTTGTTTTAAGTAAAATTATTTAGTAACAAATATTTTTAGAGATTGGAAGAGAATGGCCATTTTCTTGGCCTCGACATTTGCCAGACTTGACTCCATTAGATTTTTTTTTTTATGGAGACATGTGAAAACAATAGTGTATGCAACCAAACCTTGATTGTTAGAAGACTTGAAAGCTAAAATAACTAATGTAATTTCAGGCATTACTGTAAATCAATTGGCAAATGTTTTCAGAGAACTACAAAATCGTATTACCTTTTGTATTACTAACGATGGTGGACATGTGGAAACTTAATAAAATACAATAAAACCATAAAAGATGGACTTTCTTATTTCCAATACATTCTACATAATTTTTATATCACAAATATTAATAAAGTTATATATTTTTTAAGTTGCACATGGACTTTATGGACACCCATGTATAATGGCAACAACTCATAATTAGCCTGCAATTTGAAAAAATTTTAGACCTATAAATTCCTGCTGTCATTTGTCAGTCTGGCTATTTTTTCTTAATCTCGAGAACTGAGTTAGATAGCCAAAAGATGAGACCAGATAAGTAAACCTTAGGGGCAGGGGCCCTGAATAATTATATAGGAACTTTCAATGCAAACCAGAAGTCATGTTATTTCAATTGAAAAATTTCTCTTGAAAGGTGTTAGATAAATGACACAACTCTGTTGCTAATAGGAAAAGAATGATGTACAGGGGCAAGCCACTAATAATTTGAGTTAGAGAGCATATATATTAAATTAAATAAATTTAAAAAGTTACTAAAAAATGCAGCCCAATAATTGCTTGTCTGATTTCATTAATCAACGTAGTTCAATAATTTGACACACTATTTGGCATTAACAAGTACAATTGTGCAGGGTGTCCAAAAAATTACTATGATGCGAGAAATTTGTAATGACATTAAAGTTATATTTTCTGTACTGCACACAAAACTACCAGTTGATTGTATGGTATTGTATGCATTACCATACATATAACTTGAACAAAATCATTACAAATTTCTTACTGCACAGTAATTTTTTTGGACTCCCTTTATATTTTTATTCATCTAAAGATTTTTATATATATATTTGTGTGTATATATAATCTTAAGAAATGTTAGTTGTGTAATAGTTTTTATTCACAGAAGTGTGCTATAAAATTAAAAGTTACTATAAATTTCATATTAAATCATCATTCTGTTTTTGCAGGTATGAAATTTATATTTTGTCTTTCAATGATTCTTTAGTTTTGTTTGCCTAATTTCAGTAGAGATAAAAGATTAAACAATTTGATATTTATATAAAACTAAGCAAGTAATATTTTATATTGAAACTAATCAATCTATTTTATACAGGTCAGATGATTCCGATTATGAATTCAGTGATCATGAAGTGAATAAAATAATTATCGTAACTCAAACTAACCATCCTAAGAAGCATGAAGGCTATGACAGAACTGGAGATTGGATAACCAGAGTTAAAATGACTCAAGATTTAGCAAAAGTCATTAATGATGGACTACGTTACTATGAACAAGATTTATGGGTTGATGATGAAGTAAATATAAAGTTTGTTTTAGTGAAATTTTTAATTGTAATTATGATTTAGTATTATTTTATTTGGTAAGAGATTTGTGCCAAACTAACATTTTTGGTTTTGAGAAACAAAATCATCTCAAAACAGTTGAAAGAAATTGTTCATATACAAGAGCTCATATAGCATACAAATGGGGGCAATGGACTACAGATTACTAAGTAATGGCAAGGATTACATTGACCCAAATAAACTATTGGGGTGTATATATTACGATAGTTTAATAGACATCTAAAATGCATCAGCTCAACTAATAGATCATTAGTATGCAGAAGCAATGAGCATAAATACAATATTAACAAAAATAATTTAAAAACCACTCTTGTCCAAGACGAATGCAAACTAAGAATAGCGGAAATATTGGAAATATTTAAATCTATATTAACAGAACATTGCATTAACTACAGAGACTGTGAGTCACTGTCGTATGTGTGGAGATTGCTATTTGATAACTCTCTTAGAAAGGAGTGGTGGCAAAACTTGTAACATGATGCAAAACATGACATCGTCATAGCACTTCAAATAATTTCGTTTTATTTACTTTTATTCTTAACTGTATACTTTTTAGTATATTATGATTTTTTTAAATTTATATTTTATTTTTATTTGTAACTTAATTAATAATTCCATTAATATTTTTAAAGAAAATGTAATGTAAAATTGTTCTAAAATAACAGAATTTTAAATATTGTTCCAAATCAAATCTCTTCAAAAAACCTGATAAAGGTTTATTAATAAAGCCGAAAATGTTAGTTTGATTAAATAGTAATTTGCTGGAAAAGTACATAAAGGTAATTTTGTGTCTCTCTACTTACTGCCTAGTTCCAGCTTATGCCAGTATCAGTTCATTGGACATAAAAAATTAAGTATCAACTCAATAGATGCAATCAGATTATGTTTTTTTATGTAAGCATTAATTAATTGATTGATCTGGCAATCAACAGCTTTTTAGATATTTGAGAAGACAAAAATATCATGTTATACAGACATGAATGAAGAAAAGCAGGATTATTATTAGTAAATTGGTTGACTTAGTATATGTTAAACTTAATTTGTATTGCATAGAAAGAATATTTTATTGTAACATATATACATATATATACAGAAAATTAGTGGAGGCATATGCCACAGTTGTTAAATAAGAAATGCAAAAATTTAAATTGGGTGATAAAACACACAGAAACATGTAGAAAGAACAGATTTAATTATTCTTCAAATACTTTTGCTTGCAAAATTGCAAACTTCTTCATGAATACTGACAATGGAACAAAGCTTTTTAAAAGAAATTTAAACATACAGTATTCTTTTTTATAAAGGTAACAAATGATGATAACAGGCTATTTTCATTTATCTCTGTAAAAAGAATGTTTCTTTAAGTCTGTTTAAAAAAGCTTTGTTCCATTCTCAGTGTTCCTGAAGAAGTTTGCAATTTCACAAGCAAAATTACTTGAAGAACAATTAATTGTTTTATTACATTCCTATATATTTTAACACACGATTTTAAATTTTTGCATTCCATATGCACTGTATACATACAAAGTGATCAAATAAAAAGTTTGCTTGCAAGGAGGAAACTGATGATACCATGAGTAGACTGTTTTTTTATTGCCCAGCTATACATCTTGACAACCAAGGATCAAGAGTTAGAGTTAGAAGTTAACCAATAAGTGTTTATGCATTAAAAATACATTAATTTCTAACTCTTGATCCTTGGTTGAGGATATAGACATAAATAAATAAATTGGTGGCACGTAACTGACTCTTTATGTACCATTAACTCCCTGCATTTGAAAGTTTTCTCCTCACAAAAAAACTTCTCATTCAGTCATTTAGTAATATTGGTTATGGCTTTATCCATGATCTGTGTTATTGAATGTATAACATTAAATCATTATTTACATTTCCAAATCAGTGTTCAGAAATATAATTGTGATGTACAGTATACTCCAAATAAGTCATATACATATAAACAGTGGTGATATTCAGCGGGTTCGCACAGGTTCGGCCGAACCTGTTGTTAACATTTTCAAAGTTTTCCGAACCCGTTGTTAAACACACGTAACATTTCTAAGCGGTTTTGTTTCTTTTAAAAAATATATTAAAATATACGTATTATCAGTGGTGATATTCAAAATATTTAACAAAGGGTTCGCTAACAGAAACTTTTTCCTTAACCTAACCCCAAGCCCGAGATAACTCGGGCAAGTTACATAGCATTACATAAAACTCGGGCGTTTGGTCCCCCTAAAAGTTTTGTTTTTTTTGGCTTTTTGGAATGTTTTTTAAGTCTCAAAATTTTTTCCCGCGCGAAAAAATTTTATCGCGATTTTAATTTACCTTTAATGACGCACGATTCACACTTAATTGCTTTTTAATTGGAGTTTGATATCAAATTTCATTCATTCTAAAGTTGTAGCGCACGCCTACTATAAACCTATCGCCTCCCGAGACTTCTATGAGAATGTCCCGGAAAATCGAACTCCAGCTGTGTTCAAGGTCATCCAGCTGTTTAAACAATGACTCATCAGCGTAAGATTTCACAGAAAGACGAGACAAAGGAAAATAAAATCTGAAGCTTTTTCTTCAAAATTAACGCATTTCTTTCGTTTTTTCAGTTTTAAGTATTTTTTATGTTTAATTACATTAATATCAAAATTTGCTAGAGTCCCAAGGAGTTAATTGCTTTCCCTATGACTTTTTCTCAAGAAAAAACTTTTTAAATCGTTTATTTTATCATTAGGTATTATTATAATAAGAGACAGATGTCATTGTTTCTCGAAATACAATATCTTTTTTATTTCGCTGTCGATAGCCCGACACGTGTTCCGCAGCCATCTTGTATTTTCTCGCGCGCGTGGGATTGTGGGATCTCTCGTATGACTGGACCTAGTTTCAAGAACTCTCTTGAGTCGATCGCGATTAAACCTCGTTTCAGTCGAGATTGAAACGGTCGATGGAGGTTGGAACAAGGCGAACGGGGTATAAGGCTCTAGTTTAGTAGTGTTACAGAGTATTATATGCAGTGGTGATATTCAGCGGGTTCGCACAGGTTCGGCCGAACCTGTTGTTAACATTTTCAAAGTTTTCCGAACCCGTTGTTAAACACACGTAACATTTCTCAGCGGTTTTGTTTCTTTTAAAAAATATATTAAAATATACGTATTATACTCTGTAACACTACTAAACTAGAGCCTTATACCCCGTTCGCCATGTTCCACTTGTCGCCGTTCGCATATAACCTCCATCGACCGTTTCAATCTCGACTGAAACGAGATTTAATCGCGATCGACTCAAGAGAGTTCTTGAAACTAGATCCAGTCATACGAGGGATCCCACAATCCCACGCGCGCGAGAAAATACAAGATGGCTGCGGAACACGTGTCCGGCTATCGACAGCGAAATAAAAAAGATATTGTATTTCGAGAAACAATGACATCTGTCTCTTATTATAATAATACCTAATGATAAAATAAACGATTTAAAAAGTTTTTTCTTGAGAAAAAGTCATAGGGAAAGCAATTAACTCCTTGGGACTCTAGCAAATTTTGATATTAATGTAATTAAACATAAAAAATACTTAAAACTGAAAAAACGAAAGAAATGCGTTAATTTTGAAGAAAAAGCTTCAGATTTTATTTTCCTTTGTCTCGTCTTTCTGTGAAATCTTACGCTGATGAGTCATTGTTTAAACAGCTGGATGACCTTGAACACAGCTGGAGTTCGATTTTCCGGGACATTCTCATAGAAGTCTCGGGAGGCGATAGGTTTATAGTAGGCGTGCGCTACAACTTTAGAATGAATGAAATTTGATATCAAACTCCAATTAAAAAGCAATTAAGTGTGAATCGTGCATCATTAAAGGTAAATTAAAATCGCAATAAAATTTTTTCGCGCGGGAAAAAATTTTGAGACTTAAAAAACATTCCAAAAAGCCAAAAAAACAAAACTTTTAGGGGGACCAAACGCCCGAGTTTTATGTAACGCTATGTAACTTGCCCGAGTTATCTCGGGCTTGGGGTTAGGTTAAGGAAAAAGTTTCTGTTAGCGAACCCTTTGTTAAATATTTCGAATATCACCACTGCATATAAATATTATAAAATTATGTTAATAATATAATATATATTAAAATTAATACAAGTTATATCTTAGAAAACTAATTTTAACATATTTAATTATAGTCAGATCGACAGTACAAATCAGTGGAGTTAATATCTCAGGAAAGATTTCAGACAATTGCTCCACCAACTCCAATTATTAAACAGACTGTGCCACCTCCTCCTCCTCCTCTTGATACAGAGATCGATGTTGGACCATTATCGAGATCGATGCCAACCGACATGCCAGAATCATCGCGAGAGCACCCTCGACATCCTAAAGGTTCACGCACTCCTAGGGTTAGGAAAAATTATATCGACGCACCCAGATTTTATCCTGTGGTGAAAGACAGTGGATCTCCCGAGGACGAGGTAAACTTTGGAATTGTATGTTAATAATTTTACTTACTTTGAATTAATTTTTACAAATTAATTTAATCTGTTAAATTTAAACTTAGAAGACTAAACATGCTCAAGGTATACCTATAGAACATCATGTTGGTTGGGTTATGGATTCTAGAGAACATTGGCCACGATCACGTACCGGATCTCTTAGGTAAGTTAATATGAAATAACAGTAAAAGAAAATACTCTTAAAAGTTAAAGAAAAAAATCCGAAATGAATAAATTATTTAATAATTAGCAATATATAAAGGATTTTCCAAATAAATGCTACCATTTTAAATTCTTATAATTATGTTAATTATTATCTAAGAAGTAAGCAATATACTACACTGAATTGAGCAACTGTCTGAATTTTATCTCCCATCTACATTCAAATGTTTTATTGACCTCTACCTTTTGGAAGTGCCATAAACAAAAATGGCAACCCGCAACAGAGAATGCATTTTGTGTTCTGCAGTTTGTAAAGTTGGAATCACTCATTATTGTGCAACATGAGTAATCTGCATGCGCTGTAGAATTGTGGTTTTTGTGGGAGGAGTGACGATGGTTATACTGTAGTGATGTAGTGTGATGTTCACGTGAAATATACATAGACCAACAAAAGAAACGTGACAAGAATATTTAGCAACAATATTTTATTTCATGTATTTGAACAAGTTCTTTATGAATTCCAACTCCGAAATTAACAATTACAACATGGCTTCTAATAATGATTAATAGTTGGAATGACAAAGATATATCGTTCGCAACAAATAAATACAAATGATAACCGAAAACTATAATAAGTACTTATATACTAGCTTAAAACTAAGGGAAGAAAGATGACGATAAGGAGATTGGAGAATTTGGGAAATTAGGATATAGTAAAGTGTGAAATACCCAGGATTTTTTTTTTTTTTTTGCTGGACTTTACAATTTTGGGTGGGGATGCCATGTTGAACTTTCTCTGAAAAGACTCTCGTTGTCATCTTCACTAGATTTCTCTTCGCACCTAGTTGCTGTACCATTTATCATAACTACGATAAAATCCAATTTTCTTCTCTGATTCTCTCGAATTCTCCAGTCACTGCCGTTTGCAATTTGGAGCACCACATTCAACGTCTGTCCACCTTGAGGTCTGAGGCAAAGATTGTTCTTCCCTTCTCTCATTGGCCCTCAGGGCCTCTTTTCTTTCATTGTTCTTTGTGGTTCCAAGAATCGGTCATCACCACCCAAGGGAAAAGAGTTAGAAAGGAAAGTTCTAGAAGCAAGAAGAAACAAAGAACAAACGAGAGAACTAAAACTATTTTTAAATTAATATATACAAAATGGTGTACAGCCACAGTAGGAAGAATTTGAGTAATGGTTGGATGTGTGCTGTGTGACACAGGGTTTATACATTGAGAAACTGTATGGACAAATATAAAATTTGGACAGTTTTCCAATGTTTTAATGTACAGGGTCTTTATAATTAAAGTTTCACTTTGAAATAGCCATAAAAGGAAAACTACTGGACAAAATGTTATCAAACTTGGTTATAGTTTATAGGAAGTCATGTGATTTTATTTTTTACCAAAAAAAAAGTTGAAAAACTCACCACCAGCAGGAAAGGCACTGTATGCAATATTGTTAAACAAAATAAGACATGAAGACATCAGTTGAAAATGTTTTTAATCATTTCTAAAATGAAACTCAAACAACAAATGTGTCAAACAGTTACTTAAGTAACATTTCACTGATGACCAGATTATAAGCTGACCCTTTCCCATTTCTTGGGCACTCTGGTCACCAGACCTCAACCCCTGACTAAACCCCAGACTTCTGGCTATGAGGTTACTTCAAAGCCACTGTTTATTGTGATAACATAAATAATTTGGCAGAATTGCAAAATGCAATACACTGACATGTCCGTGACATTCCTCCTGATATGCTAAGAGTTACTGTTGAGAACACAGTAATGCAATTTAACTTGCTTTCAGGAAATGGTAGATACCACATTGAACATGCTTTGTAACATGTTTTAGAAACAATTAAAAATATTTTCAACCAATGTCTTCATGTCTTATTTTGTTTAACAATATTGCATACAGCGCCATTCCCCACTGGTGGTGAGTTTTTAAACTTCATTTTTCACAAAAAAAAAAATCCCATGACTTCCTGTAAACTATTACCAAGTTTGATAATATTTTGTCCAGTAGTTTTCCTTTTATGGCCATTTAAAAGTGGAACTTTAATTATAAAGACTGTACATTACAACGTTCTCAGATAGTGATTAACATAATTACAATAATTTAAAATAGTAGAATTCTTTTTAGAAGAACTTATATAATATCTTATAATATTTGCTCCCTACAAATAATAATATAAATTCATTTTTAGTGAAGGAACTCCAACAGAATCTATATTATCAACTAGTTACGGAAGTACACCACAGTCTTTACCAGCATTTGAGCATCCAAGTCATTCTTTACTCAAAGAAAATGGTTTTACTCAACAAGTGTATCATAAGTATCGTTCTCGTTGTCTAAAAGGTAAAAGAAATTGAACATAATTTTTCTTTCTAATTACATTTTTTAATATTGATAATTTTATTCTACATTAACATATTTTATGTATTAAATCTTTAATTATATTGGTTTTGTATAATTGATATTTTATAGAAAGGAAGCGTGTTGGCATCGGACAGTCACCCGAAATGAACACGCTCTTCCGTTTCTGGTCATTTTTTCTAAGGGAGCACTTTAATCGTAAAATGTACGAAGAATTTAAAAAATTAGCTTTAGAAGATGCGAGTGTAGGTTATAGGTAAGTAATAACTTGTATAAGAAAATAAATTATGTATATTTAATAAATACACAAAAAAATATAAATACAACTTTTTTACAAAGGTAAAACCTTGCTTTTATTTTTTTTTTTTCACCATATTTATAATTTTTTTGTGTATTTATTAAATGTAAATAATGCTGGCCATATTCTTTTACTATTTTTGTACAAATTATGTATTTTTCCACTTCTTTCATAATTCATAAACCAAGTGATTTGGTACTGATATTATATTTCAAATTTCAGTTGTCTAGAACCACAGCAACCAAGTAACTATGCTAACATTTGACACATTTTTTATTATTCTCTTCCTAATATAAATACATTTTGAATCACATTTTCTAAGCGATTCCTCTTCAGTATTATGTCTAAAAAATAATAAAATACTTTTAAAAAATAAAAATAAATACAATTCAAGTTATTACAAAGTAAAAGCATGATTGCTCACAATTACTCATGTGATGGATGCATTCTCAAGTGATGTTCAAATGAGTTCACATTCACCTATTAGTGGGATACATCTGATGACTACAGAATATTTTAGCTATTGGTGGGATACTTTCAATGTTTATAGTTGTTGGGAGTAGGGATTGTAAATTTACCGACTTTTTCATTTACCGGTAATTCGGTAAATGAAAATTAAAATACCGATTTACCGGTAAATTACCGGTAAATTTTTTCCCTGAAAAATAAAATTAAGGTGATAAAAAATATAAGTAATTTTGATTTCCATTTCACATTTTTTATTTCAAAGATATAGAATATTAAAAAATATAAAAATTAAAGTGTTATTCTAAACAAACTATAATAATAACTTTTAGAAACATAAATAAAATAATACAGAAAAATAAAAATAAAATGGAAATAATATATAGTACCTAATACCATTTTATTGATTATCATTTTTTAAAAAATAACTTCTCAAGAAACTTAAATTATTTAAAGTCTTATCTCCTAATTTTGATCTAATTTTTGTACAAAATAATCCAGGTTAGGTTAAGTTTCTAGACTTTTTC